AAATGAAATAAACTAAAAAAGTAAAATGAAGTGAAGTAAAATAAAATGAAGCAAAATAAATTAAACTAAAGTGAAGTAAACTAAAAAAGTGAAGTGAAGTAAAATAAAATGAAGCAAAATAAATTAAACTAAAGTGAAGTAAACTAAAAAAGTGAAGTGAAGTAAAATAAAATGAAGCAAAATAAATTAAACTAAAGTGAAGTAAACTAAAAAAGTAAAATGAAGAAAATAAAATGAAGCAAAATAAATTAAACTAAAGTGAAGTAAACTAAAAAAGTAAATTAAAGAGAAGTGAAATAAAATAAAATGAAGCAAAATAAATTAAACTAAAGTGAAGTGAAGTAAACTAAAAAAGTAAAATGAATAAAATAAAATGAAGCAAAATAAATTAAACTAAAGTGAAGTAAACTAAAAAAGTAAATTAAAGAGAAGTGAAATAAAATAAAATGAAGCAAAATAAATTAAACTAAAGTGAAGTGAAGTAAACTAAAAAAGTAAATTAAAGTGAAGTGAAGTAAAATAAAATGAAGTAAAGTGAAGTAAAATGAAGTGAAGTAAACTAAAAAAGTAAAATGAAGTGAAGTAAAATAAAAAAGTAAAAGGAAGGGAAAGGAAGTAAAGTAAAATAAAATAAAGTGAAGTAAACTAAAAAAAATTAAATGAAGTGAAGTAAAATAAAGTAAAATGAAATAAACTATAAAAGTAAAATGAAGAAGTAAAATAAAATGAAGCAAAATAAAGTAAACTAAAGTGAAGTGAAGTAAAATAAAAAAAGTAAAATGAAGTGAAGTAAAATAAAATGAAGTAAAATAAAAAAAAGTAAAATGAAGGGAAGTAAAGTAAAATAAAATCAAGTGAACTAAAAAAAATATATGAAGTGAAGTGAAGTAAAATAAAGTAAAATGAAATAAACTAAAAAAGTAAAATGAAGCGAAGTAAAATAAAATGAAATGAAGTAAAATAAAATGAAGTCAAATGGAGTATAATGAAATAAAAGGAAGTGAAGTAAAGTAAACTAAAATAAAGTGAAGTAAAATAAAGTAAACATAAAATATAAAAATAAAATAAAGTCAACTGAAGTAAAGTAAACTGAAGTGAAATGAAGCGGAGGAAACTGAAGTGAACTGAGGTGAGGTGAAATCTTTCATTCAGAACGTAAAGCCATCCCAGGACAGGTGAGCTTCCCGGCAACTTAAGTCACGCACCTCCGGGAGTGGCCCGAGTGCCTGCTGGAGGGTCCGTGTTGAAAGCAATGTTGTTATCCTGGGACGGAGAGACGGAAAGAGAGAATCCCAGTGAGTCTCCCAAGAAGCCCCTCCCCTAAGCCCCCGCGGCTTCCACTCCCCCTCCCCGCTCCGAAAGACCCACCTGGAGGAGCTTCTGGAGACGTGGCACGGACCAATCGCGCAGGTAGAAGAGGCAGTCACGTGGATGGTGGCCATGTAGGGACCGCCTGATCGGGCAGTGCGGGATTGGACACTTCTGGGCGAATAATAATAATAAAATGCCGGAATAGGAAAACTGTTGAACCACCCACCCATTCCTCTGAATAAAAAAATTACAGGCAGTCCTCGACTTACAACCACAACCGAGCCCAATGTTTCAGTTTGGGCAAAATTTCTGTCGCGCATGTCTAAGTCAGACGTTTGTTAAGGGAGCTTCGGTCCCTTTGATGACCTATCTCGCCACAGTTGTTAAGTGAATCGCTGCAGGGGTGAACTTAGTCGCACGGTTGTTAAGCGGATCTGGGTTTTTTTGTCAGAAGGTCGCAGAAAAGTGGAACACATGACACACACACACACACGGGATACTACAACCATCATAAATATGAGTCGTGTGAGCGCATGCGCGGAAGGCCCGCTCATATTTGTGAACTGGTAGAGAAAGTAAGTGAATGCCACCTCTGGTCGTAAGTCAATTTTCCAGTGCTGTTGCATGTCAGGGTTCCCACGGATGCCCTAATTAAATCATGAGCCTCGAGCCAAGCTTCAAAAGAAATCCAGTTATTTATTAGGAGCAACGTAGGCACCTACCCAAGTGAAGCCAGCTCTGACCCCACGTAATTTACGGCCCAATTATGACCCAGCTTCCCTCCCTCTCCCTTGGGTGTGTCATAAATCACATTCACCAACAGAGCACTTTTCGTGGGCTGTAGAGATCACGCTCTCCGGCTGTTGCAAGTAACCTGGGATACAGCCTTGAGAAAGGTATGCGTGGAATGGTGGTGGCTGCCATGCTGCTCCGTCAGTTTCCCCCCCACTTGCCTATGGCAACTCCAGAGCAGGCCAGGGATGCTTTGTGAGTTGACGTTGTGACTTCAAATGGCCACTAAGTAAAACAATGTGATTCAAAGAGTTGTTATTCCATTCTATGTGGAATGTTAAATCTTTCTTTTTAACAGACAGAAACTTTCCCAATCTTGTGATAACATCCGCTATCAATATCACGGAATTCTAGTATTTTTAAGTCGCTTTCTCACACGACAGGCAGTCCTCGAACTTTCTCACACGACAGACAGTCCTCGAACTTACTTACATTTAGTGACCGTTTGGCACTGGCACTGAAAAAAGGGCCTTTTGACCATTTTTCACACTTACGACCGTGGGCAGACTTGCCGTGTTGGTCACGTGATCAAAAATTCGGATGCTTGGCAATCGGTTCCTAGTTACGATTGCCGCCATGTCCCTGGGGGTCTTGTGATCCTCTTTTTGTGACCGTCTGACAAGCTGAGTCCCCGGGGGAAGCCAGACTCACTTAACGACCGTGTCGCTAATTAACAAATGCAACGATTCACTTAATAACGGAGGCAAAAAAAAACCACGGTAAAATGGGGCAAAACTCACTTCGCTGTCTGGCTTAGTAACGGAAATGTTGGGTTCGAGGGTGGTCGTAAGTGCGAGGACTACCTGTATCTTGTTCCCCTGTGGTTTGGCTAACCGTCTCCGCCTCCGTTCTTCAAATTCTCCCCTACGGAGCCCACAGGGGGGAAAATGAATATCAACAGGGTACCGGGTTCCCGACCTGCCCCGCACATGCGCAGTCCCTGAGCCATCCTTACATTTGAGGCATAAAAGGTGCCGTAACAGCCACTGCAGAAATGGTGCCTGCACTGCGAACACTGGAAGTGCATGCATCCCCCTCGAGCCAAGGCATACGAGAACTTGCATTTGGGACAAGCTGGAAAAAGATGGGGGGGGGGGGAGGAAAATTGTATTTGTTTGTATCCCACCTATATTATTTTTACAAATAATAATATATAAAATAATAATAATAGTCTCGCCTGGACTACTGTAATGCTCTCTCCATAGGGCTGCCCTTGAAGAGCACCCGGAGGCTTCAACTGGTCCAGAATGCGGGTGCGCGGGTATCATGGGGGCACCTAGGTCCTCCCACGTTACACCCCTTTTAGGCGGCCTGCACTGGTTGNTCCACCTGTGGCCTTACTCCCAAGTTGACTCCTGTTTTCTAGCTGTTCCCTTCATCTGGCAATTCTGCGCATGCGCACACTGGGAACAGGCTCCAGCTGTTCTTCCGCCTCACTGATGTCTGACTCCGAAGACAGCTGAAAACTATCAGACGGCTCTGGCCCCCTCTCTGCCTCTGACGCAGAGCCCTCATCCGAGCCTTCCCCAGACTCCAGGACTGGCCCATCTTCCTCCCCAACCTCCTCACTGTCCGAATCTGCCGCCAGCTTCACTGGCTGCCGGCGGGCCACAACAAGCACCTCTGTTTTCTGTCTCCCCATCAAGGGGTTTTACTCACTCGCAAAGGCCGGCATATCCGGCTGGCGTCTCTTTGCCACACGGTTCATCCTTCAAGCCGTCGAGGGTTTCCTTCTGCTCCATAACCCGGCATCCACCTGCGCACCGAGGAGAGACCGTAACGGTTAAAGCCTTCCCTACAGGCAGTCCTCGACTTACGACTACAATTGAGCAACATTTGCATTGCTAAGCGGGACAGTGGTTCAGCAAAATCAACGGGAGAGCCCGACTAATTTAACAACCGCAACGATTCACTTAACAACTATGGTAAGAAAGGCCAAACAATGGAGCAAAACGTGCTGAACCATTGTCTCAGCAACAGAAACTTTGTGCTAAATTGTGGTTGTATGTCGAGGACTATCTGTAAAGGTAAAAGTGAAGGGAAGTAAAGTAAAACCAAGGGAGGTAAAATAAAATGAAGTGAAGTAAACTAAAAAAGTAAAATGAGGTGAAGTAAAATAAAATGAAGCGAAGTAAACTAAAGTGAAGTGAACTAAAAAAGTAAAATAAAATGAAGTGAAATGAAGTGAAGTAAACAAATAAAGTGAAATGAAGTGAAGTAAAATAAACTAAAATAAAGAAAAATGAAGCAAAGTAAAATAAAATGAAGTAAAGTAAAATAAAATAAAGTAAACTAAAAAAATTATATGAAGTGTGNGGAATTCTGGGAGTTGAAGTCCACAAGTTTTCAAGTCGCCAAGTTTGGAGACTCTTAATCTCGTTCAAACCGCGCTGGTCCCTCCAGGATCATAGAGTTGGCCTCCTCTACAACTGGACTGATATCCGCTTTTCCCAACCTACTGGCAGTCCTCAACTTACGACCATTCCTTTAGCCGCTGTTCCAACAGTTCTGGGAAAAAAGAGACCTGACAACAAGTCCTCGCATTTATGACTGTCGCAAGGCCCCTGCCCCCCCCCCAAAAGCAATTCCAGGAGGCAACCAGATGTATTGCAGTATTCCTGGGTCATGTGATCCCCATTTTGCGACTTTCCAGCCTGTTTCCGACGACCGAAGCCAAAGGGGGAGTGGGAGGGGAAACTTGCAAAATTGGGGCCTGCCCTGTGATCATTTGCTTAGCGACGGGAGTGCTGATCATGACAGTGGTCACAAGTCGAGGACTTTCTGTAGTGTATTCCAGCTCTGCTGGATCGCAGCTAGGAATTCTGGGGAAAGGGCTGTTCTGACTTAAGTTTCCCCAGAAGCACGAAGCCAAGTCCTCGTTCCAATAAACGCCTTTTATTTATTTGACAGTAAATTCCTCTCCAGCAAAGTCTTCACAAGATAGTTCACAATTACCGACCTTTATGAGGCGTGGAGAGTGGCCAGGCCGAGATCTTTCAGACGCCGCAATACTTGGCAAGAATGGAGGAATGAACTAATAGTTTCCTGCAAACTCCACTCCCCTTTCGCTCCCTCTTTTATTCCCTCTGGGAGGGGCCATTCACCATCCACCTGTGGCCTTCCTCCCAAGTCGACCCGTGTTCTTTAGCTGTTCCCTTCGTCTGGCAATTCTGTGCATGCGCACACTGGGAACAGGCTCCCGCTGTTCTTCTGCCTCACTGATGTCTGACTCCGAAGGCAGCTGATAACTGTCAGACGGCCCTGATCCCATCTCTGCCTCCGACACAGAGCCCTCATCTGAGCCTTCCACAGACTCCAGGACTGGCCCNAGTATATTGTCAACTGTAGGGGAAAAAATTGTTATAAATACATATTATTAATAACAGTTATGAGATCATATCATTGTGAATGTATATATGAAATTAATTTTTAAAAAAACACCTCCAATCGCGCTTTGGTGGGCGCGCTTTCAACATCGCCGTTTCGTCGGCACGCATTTGTCGGGCGTGTATTTGTCGGCTCACGGTTCTTTTGCCTCACTGATGTCTGACTCCGACTCAGCTGTTAACTGTCGGACGGCCCTGGCCCCCCTCTCTGCCTCTGACGCAGAGCCCTCATCCGAGCCTTCCCCAGACTCCAGGACTGGCCCACGTCCCTCCCCAACCGCCTCACTGTCCGAATCTGCTGCTAGCTCTGCTGGTGGGTGACAACAATTAGAGAAGCAAGAAGACCAACAGAAGAGAAGGAGGTTCACCTGGATCAAACGCCTGCGATAGGCTTCGTCGTCCTCCGTCGGTCCCCTGGGGATCAGCTGGGCGGCGGTGAGGTGTCTCCGGCATACGATCTCCACCTCCTGCAAGGTGTAGTAGACGGCAGGATCCAGAGCGTGGCTGTTGATCAGACTGACTAGGTATTCCTTGTAGTGCGCCCTGGTGGGAGTGGGGTGGATCAAGAAACGGGGGACATCCGTCAGTGCGTCCCTCGGGACGCCTGGCCCGCCACAGCTCACCAGATCCCCCCCTTGTTAGAACCACCATCTCCTTCAAGATCTCCAAACCTGCCCACTTTTAAGAGTTGTGAAGAGAAGGGAAAGGAGAGGAGGAAGGAAGGAAGGAGAGAAGAAAGAGAAGAAAGGGGGGAAGGAAGGAGGGAAGGAAGGAGAGAAGGAAGGGGGAAGGAAGGAGGGAAGGAAGGAGGAAAGGAAGGAGAGAAGGAGAGAAGAAGGGAAGGAAGGAGGGAAGGAAGGAGGGAAGGAGAGAAGGAGAGAAGAAAGGAGGGACGGAAGGGGGAAGGANTCTATCTACCTACCTACCTACCATCTATCTATATCTATTTATCATCTATCTATCTATCTATCTATCTATCTATCTATCTATCTATCTATCTATCTATCTATCTATCTATCTATCTATCCATCCATCCATTTATCATCTATCTATCTATCAATCAATCTATACTATTTCTCTATTTCTCTATCATGTCTATCCACTTATCTATCATCTATCTCTATTTATCTACTTACCATCTAGCTATCTTCTATTTCTCTCTCTCTATCATCTAGCAATCAATCTACAGTATATCTATCTATCTATTCATCTGCCTGCCTATATCATCTATCTATCTATCCATTATCAGTCCATTTTTGTTAGTCTGCCTCCTATCTATCTAATCTATTATCTATGTATTTAACTATCTCTATCATCTCTATCTATTATTTTATCTGTCCATCTACCTTGTCTGTCTCTGTGTGTCTCTCTCTCACTGTCATCTTTTTCTCCATACCCTGTCTATCACATATCTATTATGTGATAATTCAGATTGTAGAGAAAGGAATTAGGATTATTGAAGATGATCATTATGTTCTGTCAGAAAATTCTTTTCCTTCTTTCTTTTTCTATTTTTTTCTCTCCCTCCCTTCCTCTTTCTCTCCTTCCTTCCTTCCCCTTCTTCCTTCTATCCCTCCTCCCTTCCTTTCTCTCCTTCCTCCTTCCTTTCTTTCCCTCCTCCCTTCTCTCCCTCCTTCCTCTTTCCTTCTCTCTTCTTTCATTCCTTCCTTCCTTGCCTCCCTCGTTCTCCTTGATTAGTTGTTTCTTGTCCTCCCCTCAGGTGCTTTAGAGAGTAACTTGACTCCCTCTTCTTTGGGGCAGCCCCTCAGAGATTGGAAGACTGCTATCGTGTCACCCTGAGTTCTTATTATTATTAAATTAAGAAATTCCCAATTCCTGCAACCGTTCTTCATATGATTTAGCTTCCAGTCCCCTAATCCTCTTAGACAATTTTTATTATCTCCTCAAATGCTTCATGACAGTGTTTTGGCATAAAACTTTGCCAAATTTCAATTCCAAATGATTCAGGGGTTCTGGGGGCGGGGTGGAAGAATGGGTAAAGTCAGTTTTGCTCCTCTTAGAAGTATCTGAATGATCGTTTTGGGCAAGCCGAATTTCTAGAGTGATCACAACCTAAACTTTCAAACAATGTCTAAATCCTGCAATTCTCTAGCAGAAAATAGGAAAATGATTCCACGTAGACTGCAAGGTATTGCCAATTTCATTCGTTTGGGAGTGAAATAAATAAGATGTTAGGCAATTTAGAACTTTCTGTGAGATTTCATTGGTATTTAATTCGTAGTAACAAACTCCCAATTAGCGGCAGCTTTCCGCAAATTTGGAGAAGAGGGGGAAAAAAGACCACTCGGAAATTTATTTGAACCCACTTGTGTATTGGTCAGTGGTCAAATTTAAATGTTGGGACCAGGAGATCGTATTAGTGACAGCAAAACAAAAAGAGACAAGAGTCACGTTTAACGAAATAAATTTTATTCAGACCAAAGCATTTCCCAGGAGATATGCTGGCTGAAAGAACAACGTGGAATTAAAACCGCAGGAACAAATGGAATTAAAACCAAAGCAAGAAACTTTCAGTGGAAGTAAAGCATCCACTCCACCCACCAGCAAAAAAATATTTCCCCACCCCACAAATCCATTAAGATTAAAATCGAAAACTTGTTGAACAGTGTTAGGACTAAAATCTAAAATTCTTTGCTTTTCGGCAACTGCCAACTTTTAAGATTCGTGGACTTCAACTCGCAGAGTTCCCCAGGCAGATGTCAGACCTGGAAGCCATCTTGGGTTCTTCTTGAGTTTGCCCAGAATTCTCCGGCAGGGGAATTCTGGGAGTTGAAGTCCACAGGTTTTAAAATTTCCACGGCTGTGGACACCCCTATTCTAAATGGTCACACAAGAAAGAAGAAACAAGCTGTAGAACAACACAACCCTTAAATGCGACCTAGTGGTTAGAGCAAGGAGGGCTTGAAAACTGCATCTTGGGAAGGCCCCCACCATGAACAATCAACCGGAAAACACAACATGTCTTCTTCTCCATCCCAGCTTCTCCTTCTCGGATGGGTGGATCTTCTCGGTCTACTTCCGTCTCCGTGGGACCTCAAGAGGAACTTCATCCCTTAGAACCTGCAGAAGAAGAAGAGAGTTGGAAGGGACCTTGGAGGTCTTCTAGTCTAACCCAACCCATTTGTTCCAACAGGGTGACCAAAATGACATCTATTCTGACCGAGGAGTCCCGAGAGCAGGAAGCAAACTCTTTGTCCCGACAAAAAACCTTTTTATTAATTGGCTGCGAATTCTGCTCCTTCCCATCCAGCAAAGTCTTTCAAGGGAGGATTTACGGTCACAGACCTCATCTCGCTTGGAGAGCTGACAGGCAGAGATCTGCAAAACCTGGCCAGGAGTCTCAGAGAGTCACGAACCAATGAAGCTAATGGTCTCCTGCAAACTCCACTCCCCTGTCGCTCCTCTTTTATTCCCTATGGGAGGGGCCATTCACCGTCCACCTGTGGCTTTCCTTCCTCCCAAGTCGACCCCCGTTCTTTAGCTGTTCCCTTCATCGGGCAACTCTGTGCATGCGCACACTGGGAACAGGCTCCAGCTGTTCTTCTGGTTCACCGACAAATGCGCGCCGACAAAACCGCCGGGACAAAACGGCGACGTCGAAAGCGCACCCACTAAAGGGCGTCGACAAATGCGCGCCGACAAAAGTGCGCCATCGGAAACAACGCAAAAACATCGGTAACAACGTTAACAACCCTAACCCTTACCCTTACCTAAAAACCCTAATCGCGGAAAGGAGAGAAGGAAGGAAGGAGAGAAGAAAGGGGGGAAGGAAGGAGGGAAGGAAGGAGGGAGGGAAGCAAGGAGGGTAGGAAGGAGGGAAGGAAGGAGATAGAGAGAGAAGAAAGGAGGGAAGGAAGGAGGGAAGGAAGGAGAGAAGGAGAGAAGAAAGGAAGGAAGGAAGGAGGGAATGTAGGAGAGAAGGAAGGGGGAAGGAAGGAGGAAAGGAAGGAGAAAAGGAGAGAAGAAAGGAAGGAAGGAAGGAGGGAATGTAGGAGAGAAGGAAGGGGGAAGGAAGGAGGAAAGGAAGGAGAAAAGGAGAGAAGAAAGGAAGGAA